TTACATAGAAGCATACCCCTCCGCCGGATTTTGTAAGTCTATCGCGGCGAATTAGTTCGTATCCCGAAATATGAACTTCATGATCTCGAATACTCTCATTCACTTTCGTTTCATTTATGGAAACAATATCGATATCATTGTTTGCTAATAGGATTCTTAGCTCGTCTATATGTGTTGTTAATTGATTAATATTGAGTGATGCCATTTTAAAACCGCGCAAAGGAGGCAATAGTGAGAAAGATTTAGATTTTTCGGCTCTTTGGTTGCTTCATCGGTCCCGCACGGCATTGACGGAAAACGCATTATCTTATTCTAGGTGCGATTTAAAATTATTATAAAACTGCTCATTACCTTTAAATTTAAGTGCAGTCCACCTTTGTTGAGTCCGCTATGAGATATGTTCTCATGATGGATTAATTCCCATCCACTTTGATGGCAGAACTTCTTTAGATGCTTGTTGGCTGTTTTCACTGCCTGGTCAAGCTTATCTTTTCTGCATACAAGCTCCGACAGCGTGACTATAGTATCGCAGGTGCCCTCGATCTGCCTCGCGAGATCCACAATCGATTCCGCAACAGCCTTTGGTTCCCTGGTTTTAAGATCATTAGTCCCAATGTGTAAAATCACTTCGTTGGGCGAAGGTTCTAGATTTAGCTTGAGATAGTGATTCATGGCCATTGTCGTAGCGCCCGAGAAAGGCTTGACTATAACCCTATGGCCGACTGCTTTTCCCAGTTTTTTTCCAGGTATTCTTGAGATCATCGAATCTCCTATGAGCAGGGTTGTGCACTCTTTTGGTTGTTTTTCGGGTTCGAATTCTTTTCCTGTCAGGGTGTTGTTGGAAGCTCCTTTGTTTTTCGATTTCTTTTTTTTTCCTTGATTTCACAATGAAGCCTTGTCCTTTGTTGGCGCAAGGTGTTGACTCATCCATACTTTGGGCAAAGGTATGTTCATTAAAGGTGTTATTCGTTGAACGGCATTGAGTAGCTGCTTCTCTGGATACGATTTGCAATGCAAAACTTAAAGAATCGCGTTCTTGGACTAACTTTTTATTTTCTTCCTCCAAAGATATAATTATTTCCTGAAGTCGAGAATTTTCGGATCTTAGGTCTTCCTCTTTAGGTTTCTCTTTTATATGAGCCCATAAGTTCAGCACTTCAGATTTTAGACAGTCCAACTCCTCTTGTACTGATTTGGCGTTCTTGTTAAATGCCGGAGTAGAAGCTTCTTCTTCATTCACGAGAATAACCGAGTCGTCATCAACCGGTAACTGGAGTAGCTTCTTCAGTTTGGCTTTCATTGCCTTTGCTTCCGGACCTTGGACTTGAAGGGTGCCGGTACTGTTAAATAAAACAAACGTTATTGTCTTTGACTTCAAAGAACTAGACCTTTCAGAGGGACTCGCGGTTGCAGAAACTTCTAAATTCAGGACATTTGAACAAAATTCCTGAAGTTGTAGTAGGCTTCCTTTCCACTTGAATAGACTTTGTTTGTCGTCCCAATGTAGGTATTCGTTTATGGGAGTTAAAGAAGGTTCAGTGCCAACAAATTCGCCATTACATCATTACAGCATTATCTCGTATCTTACGATATACCGACAAGACCATGGCAGAACATCTCAGCTGAGCTGTTTGAGCTCAACGGCACCGACTACCAGGTTACCACTGACCATTACTCTAATTTATTCGAGTTATGCTGACATCTAAGACCGCCGGAGGGGTTATTGAAAACTAAAGCCGCACCTTGCAAGATATGGGCTTCCGGACCGTATCACCACAGACAATGGACCACAATTTGACCGTAACGAGTTTCAGAAGTTTGCAGCGGAGTATCAGTTTGAACACCTTAAAACCGCCACGATACCTGCAGTCCAACGGCAAGGCAGAGAACAGTGGTAAAACAGCAAAGAACATCTTGAAGAAAGCTGCTGATGCTGGCCATGACCATCACTTGTCTCTACTGGACTTTAGGAACACCTCATCAGAAGGGATGGACAGCACTCCTGCACAGCGTCTCTTCCCTGCCCATGGCTAATCATCTGCTTCAGCCGAAAGTTATTCCTAATGTTAGGCTCAAATAACAACAAAGGAAACATAAACAACCTATCTACTACGACACAGGAGCTAGGGAGCTGCCACCACGCAAAGTCGGAGATGTGGTGCGGGTTCGACCATTACCATGTCAGTCAAAATGGTTGAAAGCGCAAGTTAGTGGTCAGGTAGCGATACGCTCCTATATGGTGTGCACAGAAGATGGCAGACTCTACCACCAAAATCGTTCACATCTTTACAAAGTTCCCGAGAACTTCCAAGGGATGCCAGACGAAGATAAAGTGCAGTCAAAGGTCGATACTCAGATTCGACCACCCGCCAGAAGACCCAGTGAGGGGATACCCCAGTTACGAACGAAATCTTCAGCATTGCAGATGCCAGCTACCTGACAGCCAAGTTCTCAGCCCGCTCCACCAAGTGTTCCCATACCTGTCTCTACTAGAAGTGGTAGAATTGTTAGGAGGCCTGCGTACCTGAGGGATCTTACTACTTAGGGAACCGGTGCTAAGGCGGAGTGAACAATCTTGAAAGGTGAACATTTTTGGTTAGTGCTAATCCGTTTCAAGTTAGATTTACGTTTTCAGTTTCCTGTTATAGTGTTTTTTGTTTGTATATTCAAAGAGGGGAGATGTAAAGATGTCACAATAGCCTTTACGAGCTTGCGCAGTACAAAGAGAACTGATAACCTGGATGCATGCACACGTGTTATGTTATGTATTTTTTGCAATAGTCAACTTACAGTTATATTAAAATCGTTGTGTTATCTGACCACGTTACAGCTGCATTTTTTGCTCAAACTGTGGACACAAATGTGAAGACACTGGCAGGTTTTCTCGAATTGTGGAAAAAGTGTGTAGGTCTCATTTTTACAGAAATTTTGAAATTTTGTAATCATTATAAAGATCTGCTTCATGGACTGCGAGACTTCACGTTTTATTTAAGTTGTAATACTCGACGTCAGTTATTTATCATCTTTGATTACTGAACCATATAGATTTTTATCGGATTCAAAGAATCACAGTAGGAATTTCTTTTTCAGGTGGAACAAGATGGCGGGAGAACGACAACTACCCAAGATGCATTTCTAGATAACTCGATCCAGTCCCTTGCAACTTTATTCGGATTCGGAGTGAGCTTTTAGAATTCGGAGTGAAGCTTAAGAATTTGGAGTGAGTTTTTAAAATTCAGAGTGAGTTCTTAGGATTCGGAGTGAAGTTTAAGAATTTGGAGTGAGTTTTATTGGAAACCCTATATTCCATCACATAAAAACTGTATTGTGTTAAAAACTGTTTTTAACACACCTTTTCAGATAAGAATATTACTTCCCAATCAATTCCCATCGATGTTAGTTGCTGCCTGAATATTGAAAAGTGGCATTCTACTAGAATAAAAAGTCACACTTTAGTGTAAAACCCAGTCGAATGAAGAGGCGAGAAGTGGCTGGGATTGAAACAAAGTATGCTAATTTTTGTATAGTTGTCTTTGTGAAGTAAATACAGCACTCTCGTTGAAAGATTGAGTGTGTAGCTCGCTAGTATGACTAGTGATGGCAACATTTACCAACCGACTCCCATTTACAAAATCAGTAAACAATTTGGCCAAAAAATTGAGGAAAGAGAAGAGCTACATGTTGAACAAAAAAAGCATACGTAAGTTCAGAGTCATGCGGTGCAATTTACTAAGGTGTTGATATACATATCTCTACAAGAAATAAAAATGAGCCACGAATTGTGAGGCACTTTCGTTTTACGCGTATTTGTTCAGATGCAACACAACTTGTGGCCACATGCATCGATCAAAACTCATTTATTCCTTCAGAGTGTATGCACTGGGCCCTTAGCGTAGCTCTTATAAATACCTCTGTAAAAGCGAAAAAAAAAGGGCGTAAAAAGAGCTTTCTCGCTATTAACTTACTCTAAAACAGTTGTGAAAGGTAAAACTATCGCCGCGCGTGATTTCTTACCGTTGCTGAATAGAATCTGTTCAACTTCCGCGTACATAACTTAAAATTACCCATAAATAGAGGCTCGATTGTTCGAAATATAGCGATAGAGAACTTGATCGATCACTAAATGGAGTGTTCAAATCAGTTTTGATGCGTTCCAAGCCGTATAATTACGTAAAGTTCGAAATCCAAGATGGCGGACAATTAACATATTTGCAGATTTCCACACTTCACACCACCAAGTTAAGATAAATATGAGAAAAATTTGCATATTTACAGATCTCTATATCCCCAAACTTCGAGACTTCCACACTTCTACGCTACTAGGTCAAGATAAATGTGAGTAAGGTAAAGCTCATTTGCATATTGCCAGATTTCCACATTTCCACACTCTTACAAGTAAGTAAGTTACCAAGTAACGATACATGCAAGTAAGCTAATCATATATCACACATTTTCACGTTTCAAGGTTACTCTAAGGTGATTAATTTTATGTGCAGCACATTCCATTGTAATAATGTGTTCTGCGCTCTTCAACCCCAAGTAAAAGCCACCAGTTCTGAGGCCGAGTAAGCATATTTGACATTACATCTTTCGGATTCGGATCATGAAAAGGACAATGACTTTGAAATTGAGTGAACTTTATTCATGCCGGAAATCGCCGTCGGCACATCACGAATGAATGCTTTAGATTAATTCATGATTGATTTCTCTCGAAATATTGCTACGTTCTATACACCATTTAAACACTGAGCTTTATAAATCTGTCGGGCGCGGTTGCGTGAATCGATAAGAAATCGCGCCCAACTGCATCTCAGACAAGCTCCCCATCGGTTAGTTTGTATCAATGTTTTCATTTCTCTCAAACCGTATGGCTATTGTAAACATTCATCCACTATTCATTCTCAACCAAATTATAAGAATCTGTCTCTTGGTCGAGGGTCGAGTTAAAAAGTTTCACAGCTACCAAAGCATAGAAGTCCGAAATTGACGGCATTGAGTTTCAAAATTAAGAAATTATGAAGACCGAGCCGGCTTTCTGTCTTCTGGACAATGTGTGAGGTTGCGCCATTGCCGCTTGATCGCTAACCCGGGAGGTAAATTACCCGAATCAGCCATTGGAAGATAATCAGTTCTGCTAATTAAACCCTCTCGAGAAATATCTTCCACGCACCCTAACTTGTGGAGTACAGGGGAAGAAAATACTCAGGCTTCAAGAGTAATGCTCAGAGGTTGCGCTTTCTCAGCTTTTCTTTAATCTTCTTAAACATCACACATCAAATTTCACCACAGAACCACTAGATCCAGTTGTTCAAGGGCGGATAACGCTACCCAACGGATGAATGACTATTCAGCGGATAAGTGATGGCAAAACGTACTACGTTATCCAACGGATTGAGATTTATCCAGTGGATAGCGTTATCTGACCTTCGAACAACCAGGGCCAGATGTTTTCAAAATAGTCGCGCTGTGGAACACGCACTAAAATTAGTTCTAAAAAAATGAGTAAGTATCGGAGGATAAGCTCTCTCAGTTGATATTCATTGCCTTAAGCTTATATACAAATCGATACAAAGTAAAACGTGTGAAAAAGGCAATAATGTGGAGAAGTTTGTAAAGCGGATATATATATCCGAGCATAGTTTCTAGAAACGGAGTCTGTTATTTATGCGAATACCATGTTCAAAAGTTCTGTGTTTCATTAAGTTAACTACGTTTCTGTCATCATCTAC